AGCCTCCCATCCAGCAGGTGAGTTTTTCCATAGATTCTGTCAGAAGAAAGTCCACGCACCTCAGCTTCAATTCTTCCATGTACAGAATGCATGTGTACTACAGAAGTCCCAACTGTGCCAGGTGTCAGCATGCTGGTGGTTTTTCTTACAGATTGCAAGTGCAACTACTGCTCCGTCAATCCCTTCACATTTGTCTCCTGGTTTACGAGATGTGGCTCTTCGGTGTTTAGAACTTCAACCTCAGGACAGACCTCCGTCAAGAGAGCTACTGAAGCATCCAGTCTTCCGTACTACTTGGTAGCCAATTATAAACTATAATGGAGACCGGATGCTCAACGAGGCAAAACTTTTGTGGGGAACCACGCTGATAATATGCTGGCCTTCATGCCACCGAACAGCAATGAACAAGACCAGTGGGGAACCCTTAACCTAAGTATGTGATTGACAAATCATGATCTGTACCTAAGCTTAGTATGCAAAAGTCCACAATTTGTGCAGAAACTAAACCGTGCCTTTCAAAGAACTGGCCATAGGTAAACAGGAAAGCAGCGAAGTTTGCATGACTAATTAACAGAAGCGTATTTTGGGGGTTTTTTTGGAGCACTTTTTCAGCAATATTAGCAGCTGAGGGGCTCAGGATCTATTTTAATGTTTCAATTATTCTTCCATTTCATATCGTGATCACAAGCAGGGGGTTCTGCAATTCCGTTGTTTTTTTGTCACTGGCTATAAATCAGTATCTGCCTCTTTTAGGTCAGAATATGCTATAACTAGCAGTAAATATATTTTTAAAAGTTGGTAACTTCTTTATGAACCACAGTTGACCTTTATTTTTTAAATGCCTGGGCAATTGTGGTTCACTGTGCATTTTACTGTTGGCCCATTCATTTCGTTTTTGGAAATCATGGTTCTATATTTTCATTTCACCTTCACTTTTGTTTAATATTCAGGGAAAGGTGATCTTTTCAAACCAGAAAAAAAAAAAATAGAACTAGGTGTGAACTAGAGTTTATTAAATATCTTGCTATTGCAAGAGGCTTTTTTTTAATACAGATTTAATTTTGTTTTTTAAAATTGGAATATAATAAAATACTACCTTCACTGAGTCAGTCACTGCTCTTTTCATATAGGTTAAATATAAATTAAGTGAAAATCAACTATTCTCTGTGATGCAGCTCAAAACCAAGATCAAGATTACCTTGAAATTTGATTTTTTTTTTTTAATGTATTGGTTTCTTCTGTAGGAAACTTCACACCATTGAAGTCTTATTTTGTATGTAACAATCTATCATTCATCATCCATCACCACTAATAGTAACATTAAACTGCTATTTTCCTTCTACCATGCATTATTTCTTTACAATAGGCCTGGCTGATAATTAAAGAAAAATGAACTAATAACTACCAATGAGTAATAGTGTTTTTACAAAATAAATTTGAATGAATTTAAAAGTTCAGAACGAAAAGTGAAATTGAATTTGACTTACTAATTCTTGGATTTTGCACAATTACCTAATGGTTTTCATCTGAGTTGAATTCAGAAGCATGGAATCCTGAAGGAAAATGGCAGCTCTTTTATCCTTTTTTTGTGAGTCTTTTAAATCAAGTACTGATTAAATATTTAATACAACTTTTTGAGATGTTAAGTTTAACTCTTCAGAAGCCAGTTGAATTATTGCAGAGTGAAACAGAATTGGTTATTCTCAAAGACTCAGGATAAACTAAATAAGCTATATAGAGTACATTTTAAATGTACATCACAAATTGGAAGTAAAATAAGTTACAACATAAGTTTACAGGGATATATTGCATATTTTTAAAAGGCAGGTTTTTGCTTTTGTTTTTTTTTTTACGTGAAATGTGTCTCTTAGTGAAATTTTACATTCCTTTGTTTTGGAAGATTGGCAATATTTGAAGAGTTAAAAATAGTACCGAAATGTGAAGTTTGGTAGCTCTAAATGTGTTGTACTTGACTTTCTTTTTTATTTTCTATCTTTTTTATGTGTGTGACTACTTAGAATTTTCACAACCCTAATAAGATTGTTTCCGAGTTTCTCATGTGCAAGCTTTAACGGATGCACTCTTGCCATTTTATGTACTGGAAGATCATCACTAGTCAGATTAATACTGTGTCTGACAGAAATGTAAACTGTATAAACTGAGGAACCTCAGCTAATCAGTATTACTTTGTAGATCACCATGCCCACCACATTTCAAACTCAAACTGCCTCTAGATGTCCAAATCCATTGTTTGAGTTTGTTTGCAGTTCCCTCAGCTTGCTGGTAATTGTGGTGTTTTGTTTTTTGTTTTGTTTTCAATGCAAATGTGATATAATATTCTTATTTTCTTTGGATCAAAGCTGGACTGAAAATTGTATTGTGTAATTATTTTTGTGTTCTTAATGTTATTTGGTACTCGAAAGTTGTAAATAATGTCTACTGCTGTTTATTCCAGGTTCTACTACCTCAGGTGTCCTATAGATTTTTCTTCTACCAAAGTTCACTTTCACAATGAAATTATATTTGCTGTGTGACTATAATTCCTAAGACTTCCAGGGCTTAAGGGCTAACTTCTATTAGCACCTTACTGTGTAAGCAAATGTTACAAAAAAAATCTCTGGGTTAAGAAAATTTGGCTTAAATGTATCCTTTGTTATTTTAAATATATCGAGATATTTTAATTAAAATTTTTACCCCATTGAACCAATTTTATAGTATTTGTACCTATTTTGGTGTTTGTCTTTATAGTAAATAAAAGTTTTTGAACAAAGGTTGGTAATTTTATTTATTTTGCCACCTGCCCAGTTATGTCCTTCATAGCTAAGGGAGCCGGACCAAGATCACGTGTTCCTCATAGTCAAGTTTCTTCAGTTTCATTCAATCCAGAATCATTCCTGAGTTTTTTCTTGATCTTCATGACTTTAATATTTTTTAAGATTACAGGTTATTGTTTTATAGAGGTCCTCTGTTGGAGTTTGGTGCTTCCTCATGACTGGATTCAGAGTATGCATTTGTGAGAGGAATATCAGAGAGGTGATGTTCTGCTCTTCTTGGTGTGTCTTTTTTTTTTTTTTTTAAGATTTTATTTGAGAGAGTGGGGGGGTGGGTGGGCAGAGGGAGACGGAGAAACAGACTCCCCACTGAGCAGGGGAGCCCTATGCTGGGCTCTTCTTGGTGTGTCTTACCAGGGGGCGCTACAAAGCCAATTTGTCCCAATGCTGGTGATATTAACTGTGATCATCTGAGTAGGCTTCATCACTAAAAAGTTACTGTTTCCCTTTGTAATTAATATCTAGCTTTATGTTAAGTATTTTGCAGAGCTGATACTTTGAGATTACATAGTTTGTTCTTCATTCAACTTTAACTCTCTGCTCTTAGCTTTCTTGAATTCTGAATTATTACTCTGATAGTTGCCAAATGGTGATTTTCTAGTTCTTGCATTCTTTATTTTATTAATGGACATTTTGCTATAAAGAAGAGCTTTCTCTTCTCCCACTTATTATTCATTTATATCAGAGTGGATTTGTGGACTCCGATTCAGTGAGAGAAAATCGATTACTGTCATCATATATTTGCTCAAATGGTCCAACTCAGCCATTGGGTGCCTCTGAAAGCCAGTTTCTCTGTCCACTGGCAAGCCACCAGTATTCTTTGAACACTTCCGTACTTAGAGACCCATCTTGTGTGTTCTCTGCTTCAGCCCTGGGATCAGCCATTTTCCAAAGATTCCTTTGATGGAGACTGGTATTTAAAAACAAGGTGCTAAAAATACTCATTGCTCTTGGGTGTCATTTTGTCACTTGCTCCCAGGCCCTCCTGGTAGAGGTAGACAAAACTACTATATATCCACTATACATAGATTTCTTGTGCATATGAGAAATATACATACATAACCTACACACACAAACCATGAGTTCATACCAATCTAATTTCAGTTTACCACCACCAGGTTCATTCAAGTCTCCCCCCTTTCCATATTTTTAACCCTTTCCTGGACAGTGAAAAACCTGACTCCCATGTACCTCAATATATTGACTTATTTGTTCAAGTCCCCACCCCAACCCCCTGTGTAACCAATCCGATTCCCAACAGGCAGCCTTCCCTGCATGGGGCCCAACCCCTGCTGGACTATCTTTGTTCCCATTTACCTGTGGGCTTTAGTATATATATGTTGCGTATATATTTTTTAAAGCCATCTTACATGTATATTTAAAAGTTGTATTATACATATTGTAGCATATATATATGCAATGTACTTTATTTTTTTAGAGCACTTTTAGGTTCACAGCAAAATTGAGCAGAATATTCAGAGATTACCCATATGGCTCCTGGCCCCATTGACTCACAGCCTCCCCGACTATCAACATCTAAGGACTTTTTGACAACAAGAAGGAAAGCTCTTCCAAAAAAATTAATTTTTTTTAATCTTAAGTGAAAATTATAACTCTTTTAACAATCTACCTTATGTGGCTTGACATGTTGTATACTTTCACATAAATACTACTACTGTTCCCAGACAGCACAGGTTAAATTTAATTGATTCTTTTCACACAACTCTTTTTATATTGTGTGGAATTAAAGAAACAATAAAAACTATCTCCTTGGGGCACCTGGTGGCTCAGTCGTTAGGTGTCTACCTTCGGCTCGGGTTGTGATCCCAGGGTCCTGGGATGGAGCCCCACATCGGGCTCCCTGCTCGGCAGGAAGCCTGCTTCTCCCTCTCCCACTCCCCCTGCTTGCGTTCCCTCTCTCGCTGTGTCTCTCTGTCAAATACATAAGTAAAATCTTTTAATAAAAAAAAAACCTATCCTCTTACGTTAAACTGTTGAGAAAGGGAATGAAGATTTACTCATCAGCAAGTATTTGTCAGGCATACCTTGGAACAGTGATTACACTCTATTTCACAAATGCGGAAACCAGCCAATTTCAATCATTCTGCAATTCAAGCTACACCAGTGAACTCCTTTGGACTGCCTCACAATTTTAGTCTTAGATTGTACCTTGTGGTTGTGTGCTCATTTCCACTTTTATCCTTCGTTTTTCTGCCAGTAGTCATTTCTCACAGGATCAAACAATCAGAAACAAGATGAATTTAACCCTGCAAAATAGGTAATGTCACGAAGTAAGTGTGGGTTCAGATGGCATTTTCTGTCTCTATGTTTGTCATACAGGTTCTGTATAATAGGAAAATATGCATTTTTTTTTTTTAAGAGAGGAAGCGAGGGGGGCAGGGATGAGGCACAGGGAGAAGGAGAAAGAGAATCTTAAACAGGCTCCATGCCCAGTGTGGACCCCGACGTGGGGCTCAATCTTGCAACCCTGAGATCACAACCTGAGCTAAAATCAAGAGTTGGACGCTTAACCAGGCGCCCCCCAAAATGTGCATCTTTTAAATAGGCTTTAGAGATTACTGTTAAAGGGTACCCCTCTGTCATTTCCAGAAAATATTACCTTTGAAAACAGGTTTTTGCCTTAGAGGAATTAAAATAAATTCTGTTGTTCTTTGATTCTATTTAAAAGGCATTAATCATTGTGTAAAAGGACCGTATCTGCAGGTTAGATACAATCTAAAAAAATGTTGGGGTATCATGCTTACCTGGAAATGCCAATGAATGCACATGTGAACTAATACAGTAATTCACTTGTTATAAAAAATGCATGAAATACTGCTGCCACTGGGGAAAACAGTGACTAACAGAAACTTCTGCAAACTGTCATCTTTCTACATCATGACAATTTTTAGGTTTCTAGGGAACAGTAGTAGGTCATAAGGATGGACCTGGAAACCACAGAGCATGAAACATACCCTGGGTCAAATCTGGCTCTGTCACTTGACATTTGACCTTCTGAACCTACACTTCTGCCCCTATGGGATGAAAGTGACAGTGTTGTGTGAAGTAAAAGAACCTATGTAAATGGCCTACAACATTGCCAGGCACACTGGATGCACAATATATGTTTAATTGAATGAATGAGTGATCCAAAGGTTACAGATCAAATACCTATGTGGCTAGAAGTGTCCTTAGCAGGGCCTGTGGCCAACCTGAGAGTTCATGCCAATTCATGTTCAAGAAGGGGGTCCATGCTTGCCACACTGGAATGGGAAGAAATAAATAACAGTGTTGCCAAAGCCTCTATAAATTTTTTTTAAAAGAAGCTGGAGATCGGGATTTTATCTGCAATTTCCTGGTGTTTAAACATGGGAAACTAATTTAAAATTTGGATTAGGAACTACAGGCTAAACAAAACTCATACGCTATATCTGACCTGTGGCCAGCCACTTTTTGACCCTGACTTTGGTCCAGGCTTATAAAACAAAAGAAGGTAGAATATTGAGAATCTCCACTTGACTTTTGTCTTCTAAGAGCTATAAGAAAAGGGGAAAGTGGAGATGCTGATTACAGATGCTACAGAACAAATCTCTGAGGAGAAAATTAATGTCTAATTATATGCACTAATGTGAAATGTTTACCACTAAAGCCTAATTATCATGTAGCAAATTATGCATATGTAGCATTCAAATATGCCATCACTGTGATATCATTAACTTTGTGATTTTATTTGACAACAGATACTCTATCAGTATTATGTGACTGAAGAACTTATCCATGATTGAAGCCAGCCTCATTACTTTGTAGTCAACCTGGAATCACTCTAGCCCATGCCTCATGGCCCTCATAGCTTTGCCAGCCACGTAGGGCTAAACCTAAGCTAACGTGAGTGAAGAGGCAAAGCCATCACACCCCAAAGTAGCTTTTCTGACAATGCCGAAACAACTATTCGAGTTTAGAGATAATTAAATGGCATTTTCCTTTAAAGTCAATTTGCTGAAGCTTTCTCAATATGTATAAAGACATACTGAGGGGCGCCTGGGTGGCTCAGTCAGTTAAGCGTCTGCCTTCGGCTCAGGTCATGATCCCAGGGTCCTGGCATCCAGCCCCACATCGGGCTCCCTGTGTACTCAGTGGAGAGTCTGCTTCTCCCTCTCCCTCTGCCTGCCACTCCCACTGCTTGTGTTCGCTTGCTCTCTCTCTCTGCCAAATAAATAAAATCTTTCAAAAAATAAAAAAAAAGACATACTGAGAGAATAAGGGTGTAACTAGGGTGAAAGGGAAAGGAAGGAAAGAAAGGAGGAGAAATAACAGGGGACAAGAGATACTGAGAAATCCTTGGCAAGAAGTGGCATTCTAGTAGCATCTTTTTTTTTTTTTTTTTAGATTTTATTTATTTATTTGAGAGAGAGAATGAGAGAGAGAGCAGGAGAGGGAGGAGGGTCAGAGGGAGAAGCAGACTCCCTGCCGAGCAGGGAGCCCGATGCGGGACTCGATCCCGGGACTCCAGGATCATGACCTGAGCCGAAGGCAGTCGCTTAACCGACTGAGCCACCCAGGCGCCCTCAGTCTAGTAGCATCTTGAAGAAAGAAACACGGTGGTACAAGAAGCCGAGACAAAGTCAGACCATAACTACAGTGTCCAGATAAATTATGAAAGGGGGTGCCTGGGTGGCTCAGCTGGTTAAGCGTATGACTTGATCTCAGCTCAGGTCTTGATCTCTGGGTGGGGAGTTCAAGTCCCACAAAAAAAAAAAAAATTATGGAGAGTGACATAAGTATCATGGCAGCGTTAACAGGTCCCTACCAAAACTGAATCATGAACAAACAGAAAATGTGAACAGACTGATAACAAGTAAGGACATTGAATCAGTAATAAAAAAACTACCCCCCACCGCCAAAAAAAGCCCAGGAGCAAGATGGCAGAGGAAGTAGGAGATCTAAATTTCATCTGGTCCCAGGAACTCAGCTGGATAGGGATCAAACCATTCTGAACACCTACGAACTCAAGAGGAGATTGAAGAAAGAATAGCAGCAACTCTGAACAGAAAAGCGACCACTTACTGGAAGGTAGGACGTGCGGAGAAGTGAATCCGAGGCAATATTTGGGAAGATAGATGGTGGGGGAGGGGGCCTCCGTCGGCTGCTTCTGGCAAGTGATAGAGCAGCGGAGCACAAAATCGGAACTTTTAGAAGTCAGCTCCACTGAGGGACGTCACTCCGGTGGCTAAGCGGGGGGTGGAATCCTCGCGGGACAGTGTGGTCTCAGGACCCTCGGCGTCACAGAAAGACCGGGGGTGCCTGAGTGTGGCAGAGCTCCCAGGGATCGGAGCGGGGAAGCCGGCTGCAGAGACAGACCCAAGGAGCGGGCTCTCAGCTCAGGGTTGTCATAAACCGTGATCCGCGGCAGTCGGACCACTGATCCACCAGCAGGGACCCAACAAGCGGCAGATCCGGGGAGGCTCCCCTTCCTGCCCCGGGAGGAGTGGCGCGGGAGCGCACCGCAGGGATCTGCTGGGTTTGGAGACTCCACATGGGGTCGTGAGCCAGAGATAGAAATGCTCGGTCACAGGCTGGGTGAGCACGGAGTGCAGCCGGAGACTGGGGAGATGGGAGTGACTGAATGCTTTTCTCTGGGGGCGCACTAAGGAGCGGGGCCCCGAGTTCTCTGCTCCTCTGGGGCAGAGACTGGGAGGCCGCCATTTTCACTCTCGGCTTCCAAAGCTGAACGGAAAGCTTGCAGGGAACACAAGCTCCCTGAATCAGTAATCAAAAAACTACTATTAATGAGGTGCAATAAAAAATGGAGGCTCTAACTGCTAGGATAAATGAGGCAGAAGAGAGAATCAGTGATATACAAGACCAAATGATGGAAAATAAAGAGGCTGAGAAAAAGAGAGATAAACAACTACTGGATCACAAGGGCAGAATTTGAGAGATAAGTGATACCATAAGACAAAATGATATTAGAATAATTGGGATCCCAGAAGAAGAAAGAGAGAGAGGGGCAGAAGGTATATTGGAGCAAATTATAGCAGACAACTTCCCTAATTTGGGGAAGGAAACAGGTATCAAAATCCAGGAGGCACAGAAAACCCCCCTCAAAATCAATAAAAATAGGTCAACACCCCGACATCTAATAGTAAAACTTACGAGTCTCAGAGACAAAGAGAAAATCTTGAAAGCAGCTCGGGAGAAGAGATATGTAACCTACAGTGGTAGAAACATTAGATTGGCAACAGACCTATCCACAGAGACCTGGCAGGCCAGAAAGGACTGGCAGGATATATGCAGAGCACTAAACGAGAAAAATATGCAGCCAAGAATACTCTATCCAGCTAGGCTGTCATTGAAAATAGAATGAGAGATAAAAAGCTTCCAGGACAAACAAAAACTAAAGGAATTTGCAAACATGAAACCAGCCCTATGAGACATATTGAAAGGGGTCCTCTAAGCAAAGAGAGCCTAAAGTAACACAGACCAGAAAGGAACACAGACAATATACAATAACAGTCACCTTACAGGCAATACAATGGCACTAAATTCATATCTTTCAATAGTTACCCTGAATGTAAATGAGCTAAATGCCCCAATCAAAAGACACACACAATCAGATTGGATAAAAAAAACAAGGCCCATCGATATGCTGTCTGCAAGAGACTCATTTTAGACCCAAAGAAACCCCCAGATTGAAAGTGAGGGGGTGGAAAACCAAAAGAAAGCTGGGATGGCAATCCATATATCAGACAAATTGGATTTTAAACCAAAGACTGTAATAAGAGATGAGGAAGGACACTATATCCTACTTAAAGGGTCTGTCCAACAAGAAGATCTAACAATTGTAAATATCTATGCCCCTAACATGGGAGCAGCCAATTATATAAGCCAATTAATAAGAAAAGCAAAGAAACACATCGACAACATTACAATAATAGTGGGGGACTTTAACACCCCCCTCACTGAAATGGACAGATCATCTAAGCAAAAGATCAACAAGGAAATAAAGACTTTAAATGACACACTGGACCAAATGGACTTCACAGACATATTCAGAACATTCCATCCCAAAGCAACGGAATACACATTTTTCTCTAGTGCCCATGGAACATTCTCCAGAATAGATCACATCCTAGGTCACAAATCAGGTCTCAACCAGTACCAAAAGACTGGGACCATTCCCTGCATATTTTCAGACCACAATGCTTTGAAACTAGAACTCAATCACAAGAGGAAAGTCGGAAAGAACTCAAATACATGGAGGCTAAAG